TAGTAAGGCACTTGTTACTACTAGCGTGGCACTTGTTACTAGTAGTATTTTGCGTGGCACTTCGTCAAACGCTTGAGGCGCCAACCATGACTTCCTCGGCTCGAGCATTGACAAACTCGGAAGATTCTTGTTGAAGTGCTTGAGGCGCGAAGTACCCCAAAAGCGACAAACTGCACGGCAAGCATCTGGCATGGTCGTCATCAGCCGTTCGTCTTGCCCTCCATCAAATCCACCACAGCCTTCAACCCCATAAAAAGCGCGATCCTTATGAAGGGGCTAAAATGCAGCTATATAAACTGTGCATATGACAAAAATGTGGTTCCACACGAAAGTTCAGCACCACCTTTGTGTGCGAGGATGTACCCACCGATCCAAGCTGCGGTAATGTCCTCAACTGCTAACTGAAACTGGAAAAAGAATGCAAAGCTGCTGCGACAGCTGCGACAGCTGCTAGAAGCCCAACAGCTTCCTCACTGCTTCTGATTCTAAGAATTGCTTATGATGATCACTTTGTGCTTCCGCTTTGCATCTCTCTGATCAGCCGGGAGGCCACCATGACTTGTCCTTTCAAAGAATTGCCGCTCCTCATGAAGTCCTCAGTTGGAAACCACCTGTTTCCTTGCCCGGCGGGGTAGGCCGCGAAGTGAGGTAGGTTAGCTAGGTAGGTAGCTAGTAGTAGAAGCTAGGTAGCTAGTACCTACAAGCAAGTTCCTACATATGGACGCAGGATAGCTCACGCACTAATCATTAATCATGTGATCCTAGATGTTTGGGGAAACTTCACTATATAATAGGAAGACCGAAACAACTATCGTCGTACATGCAAGCAAGCATCGACAGGAAAGGAGTCATCGTCGTTACATGCTTCTTGTGGTGTTTGCGGAATGTCCGAGAGGGGTGGGTTTCCTGTAGATCCATCACCTTGAAAATCTTGTGAGAAAAACAGAATTCGTTCATTTCCCTCTACTGATGTCGGCAGTGCTTCTAGATGAGCCACAAAGTGACTATAGAGAAGGCGACCAGCATCAGTGTATTCTGAAAGTGCTTAGTTCAATTGTGTAAGTGCACGACGGAAGCGGCAAGTGCGGAGAGGAACATCAGCAAGAGGCACACCCTTGGAAACAGAACCCTCAAGAAAAAAATCTACACAAGCAAGCGGGATGAAATGACTTGAAATTCTTGTTCTTGGCCATCCTACGTCCTGGTCATACATGTTCAAAAAATTGGCAGCTCATCTCCGTCAAGATACCGAGTTGTCCAAAGAAGGAGCCTTGCTCAGATCATCTGTGCTCTTCGCAACAATGAGCACGGGGCCTGTATGAGCACGGTGATGTGCGATGCTTTAGTCATGATGCACGATGATTGCTTAAGTCTGAGTTTCAGCAAGCAATTACTTTGTGCAAGTGATGCTTAGGCTATGTCATAGCAAGTTGATCACTGCCCCCGCCTTGACCTCCATCTGCCAACGTTGGATCTACGGAGCAAGCCGCCAACAAACCCAGCAGTGCTCGGTTGAAGCCAGCTTGGTAGAGATCACCTGTGGTGCCTCGGAAAGCAGAAGAAAGCTTACAAACCGCCGCAAAGCTCTATTAGGAGAAAAGCATAGAAAGGGTAACAAGCATGGACTGTCTTTCCCGGCTATTCCTTCTGCCTTCATTCCCTACCGGCTTCATCCTTCCTTGTACTTCTTTGTCTTTCCTCTGGAGTCAAACCTTACCGGGCCCAAGCCAAGGCGGCTTCAAAGCGAAATTACATCCAAGAAGCATTTGTCCGGAGGAATGAGTTGGCTGAGACCACTGTGATAGTCTGCCGCTTCATTCCCAGAGGCAATCAGCGCCGCTATGTAGCAAACCTGAGGTGAACCATAGCCCTCGGATATGCAAAGCGCAAAAAAGGCGCTCGATGCGACTCATGTGTGAAGTTCATGCATTTTTGTACTATCCCAACCCTTCTCAAATCACGCAGCTCAGCAGTGCGTAGCCCATGTGACAACTTATTGACGACCCAACTCTGCAAAACGTGTGACCAAAAACTTACAGTATGAAACTTAACCTGTCCGGATTGAGAACTATGGACTCTGGACTATGAAACTTAGACTTGTGAGAACTTGAGGCCGAGGTAAACCAAACCTAGGGCAATCGGTTGCAAAAGCATGTCACCGAGTCGTCCTGGTTCAACAAAGAAACAATGCTCAAACGCAACGGCCATTTTCCCCTTTTCGTGTCTGGGTGAAAGATCACTGTGGTGGGAACAAACTCAGCTAGCTAATGACAGCTTTCGTGACAATCCCATTTCTTGCTGCTCATCCAATCTTCACAGTGGATTAATGCAAACCCCTCATAGCTGCCTGCTTCCTGGTGTAGACCACGTATTGTCCCCAGTCCAGCTGATCGCTTGAGCTTTGACCTGCCGGATTGGCCAAAAGGAGCTTCCATGCCTCTGATCTTCGTGGACGGGTAGATCAGATCCCTTATTGGGAAGATTCTCCTGTAGAAGTTGACAGCTGGAAGCAGACACATCTGCGGAGACACCCGAAAAGACGGAGTAGAGTTTTGGACGCGGAAAAGATGCGTGTCTTAGAGGCAAACAAGAATGCTATGACTGGTTTCACCCTGTCACGCTGCCTGCAGGGATCTTTACAGCCCCTTGCCTGCAGGGCCGGTTTCAAGCCCGTGAGTTCAAGCGCATGTGCACCAAGGCATGATTGTCAGAATGGTTCGTCCACATATCCCATGAAAGCGGACGAAATACTGGTCAAACTACAAACAGAATCAACAGAACAATACGCACGCATCAGTATAAGTAGTAATATATAACGTCCATTCATCAAATTGCATCCGAAAGTCTGACCACCAAAAGGGGAGGGCTCTGAGAGGAGCTGCGCTGTGTAGTCGCTCAAGCTTTGGGACGTCACAGTACCAGTGCCCTCATCGAAGTGGACCTTAGAGCTGGAAATGTCTGGTCCACTAAGTGCTGTTCCTTCCACACATGTCCTTATCAAGTGAATATAGAAAATAAAAAACAGGATAGTCAATCTGACACTACAAACAAGAAAAATATACGAACGCAGGAGACGGTGTTCAATGTGTTTCGGGTGCAGCGCTTGTGCTTGTGGAGTCTCAAAAATTTGACCAGTTACGTTGATACCTGGCCAAATTTGCTCGATGTCAGCTGCCGAAATCCGTTGACGACTCAACTCGAAATGCACTTCCGTCTGACCATTTGAACCTGGGCTGACGGTTTGGGAGAGTTGGCAGCAATTGTACAATATAAGTTCACACAATCCCTTGGCGATTCCAGGTCCTACAATTGTCAGTCTCAGTTTGTCACCAAGCTGCTATAGAAAATTCCTCCAGATGTTTCCAACTGCCTGACATCCTACATGAAATCTGCAGTGCGGGTATTTGGTTTCGAACCACTTGCAGACCAGTCAGGTACGTCGCAGGAAAAGCGACCGGTGCTGAGACAAAAAGCGACCGATCCGTCCTTTGCCGTGTCGGTGTTGAGCACCGACCTGCACACGGTCCCACGGCCCGCACGGTTCGGGCTGCGGGACCGTGATCTGATCGGTTCCAAAGTGTCATACGGGTTTGCCTCTTTAAGAGGGAGATGGCCAACAACCCATGGATATTCCCCAAACAATGTGGTCACACTAGGGAGTCTTGGGGAAAAGGTTCTTAATAAGGCTGGGTTTGATTGCGGGGTGCTCACCGGGGTGCTCACCAGTGCGTGGTCGCCACCTTCGCATCGTCAATCTTTGAGGCCACACACCAGTCAACTCTGATTGTATCAAATAAGTTCAACAACGAATGTTTGAGATTGTCAGGAAAAGTCTTGAGCTGCTCAAAAGGGGTATATAAACGAACAAGTCGCTTGCACTCTTTTTGGGTCGGTATGCTGTTAAGCATCCTGTCTCACCTCGGAATGGTGAATTTGGTAGGTGTGAACGTCTACTTGCAGTAATCTGGTGGAATCTCAATTGCTCTCCTGGACGAACCAGAGCCCCCCACACGGGTGTGGGTCTAGTTTTCTTCTTCCAGCGGGTCTTTGCAGGTCTCCCAATTAGTCTGGACCACTCCTCAAGACAAGAGCGGAGCAGCCAAGTGCAGCAACAGCTGGCCACCAACGGCTATAGGCCTGAGAGGAAGTGCGAACATCAACAATATGGACTATGGAGTTCACCTTAATTAGTGTCAACTTCATGGATGACATCAGGAATCCACGAAAAATGCCGTGTGACTTACAGGTAGGAATGCGGAGGCACTGTTTTTTTTGACTGGGACATGTTTGAATCAGAACTCAGAATGATCGCTGGCCTTCACTTTGAGCTGATGTGGTGGCAAGAGTTGTTCCTCATCTGTTGAAGACTCCATTTGATGGAGCTTCAAAACGCCTCAGAACACTGCAAGGCAAAAAAGAAGGAATGCATCATTGCATCTTGTCAGACAACCACCCGGCAGGCCTCAAGCAAATGCGCAACGCTGCGCGACCATTCACGGCAAGCCCTCTACTTTGAGCCCAGGCAGTGGACACAAGTGCAAATGCAAATAACTAAAAGAGAATAGTAAATTGAACCAAAGCATTAGTGCAAGCGCTTCTTCAAGGAAGCTCCCCCTGCCCTCAGCCGGGGGGAGCTTCCTTGAAGCGTGAGCTATCCTGCGTCCTAGTTAGGAGCTTCCTATTGCTAGTAGTGTGTTAACTCCCTTTCTCTTGTTAGAAAAAGGAAAAGCCTCGACACGACCTGATAATCTGATAGAGTTCCAAAACCTGGTGCTTCCAAAGCCATGGGCTCCAAGCCATTTAGTGATGCAACATAGGCGTCTCGTTGCTTCAAGGCCTCGGCACTTGAAGTAGTTCCTTCTGCCCGGCTTTTCAGCCGCATTCCAAGAAACAGCGGCTGGACGCTCCAGCCTTCTCCACAGCTTCCCAACTTCGGCCCTTGATGGAAGGATCATCCGGATCCAACCTGTGAAGAAAGCAAAGAAAGGATTCACCACATGTCAACCAGCCATTGATTGGCTGAGGCAGAAGCGCATTGGCAGAAATAGCAGCTAGATCCCTGGGCAAAAGAAGGAGCAAACGTGAGCAATGCCAAACGGCCCTTGCTTTTTGCTTGAACTCATGGGTCCTGAGCCCTTGACATCCCTGCGGATGTCGCACCAAGCCCTGCTCCTCAGCATGAGCCACATGCATCAATCAAGACAGAATGGATTTAGAACACATGCGCAAGCATGAGATTTGGAATGGCTTCACTTCGATTCACATCTCTCGTTGGAATCTTTTTCTCCCCACGCAGATTACGCAGGTCTAGTTTCTATGTCAGCTCAGCTAAAGTCTAAACCACATCAAAATCACACATCAGCTGCCACTTTGCAGACTCAAAAACGAGCTCCACCTCAATTTCCGCTTTTCAAAGATCACACATTTCAAGCCTTCCTCTCCCCGGGGAAGATGAAGTTGCCCACCACCAGCAAGGCGCTTGCCAGAACAACGAAGATCAGCAGGAATGGCCAGCTGGGAGGCATCATGTAGTCCTGCATCAACTAGACTAGACTTTCTGCTCTTATGAGCTACAGCATGCCAGAGACAAGGAGCACCTGCTGTGACTTTGGCCGTACTTCAACTTCATCGTGCAAGGCACTACACTGCACAAATCATCTTTGTACTCAATTCAATTCATGCATGGCATGTCTGTCCTCGGCCAGGGCTGGCTGCACCACAAGCAACGGCAGCATGCCCGCTGCAGCAGATGCCGCTGCTGCATTGGGAGCACTGCGGGGTGCTGCGGAAGGCACAAAAGCCGGCATCACAAAGAGAGCAGCCACCAAAAGGAGAGGCAGAACAGAGCTGCGTGCCATAGCTCCTGAGTCCTGTGGCCAAAAATAATGTGGCAATATTGCCTTTAGAAAACAAAGGTCACTCAAAATTCTCGGCAAATTATGTTGACAGCAGCGGTTTCAAGCTATCACAACCAGTCCTGCTCCGGCGAAGCAATGCGGAGGATGCTGAGTTGGTGGCTTGAGGTTGCAAGCTACAGGGTACAAATTCTTGACATGAGACAATTGCATGGGAACATGCTGCATCTCCGCTTGGTCGATTCCATCAATCAGCATTGGTGGATGGACAGGCAAAACTTGATGAAGCCGGAGAAGGCAATGAGATGAGACGGGACGAGAAGATTCAGTAGTGTAGGAGCGTGTAGGAGGCATCTAATCTAAGCTTAGATGTTTAGATTGAATGAGAACAAAAGCCTTGACTGAGATGGCAAAGAAATGTAAGCGTCCATCGACAAACCCTCAATCAGGTTGTGTTCACAAAGACTCTTTTCGGCTCACACGTGCTTTTGCAGTAGGAGACAATGACAAATGCCGGAGCTTTCCCCAGCATTCTGTTGCGCGATCACGCTTTTGTGCCCCATCGTCATGGCATATGTAGCACTCAATGCAGGGGTGGCAAAGTCGATGCCATGTGACCTCGAAGCTCTCGAGCAGACATGGGTACTTTCGCACTCAAGGAATGAGACCTCCAGCCTTGGCCAGATCTGCTGGTCTTGGGCGGCGCCACTGCGCTGCCTTCCAGACCTGGAATCTTGCTAGCAGGGCTTGGAAGCAGAGTGGTATCCTCAAGTGGCCCACCCATGATCCCTGCACCTCCGCCTGCACTGCTGCCAAAACCTCCTGGAATTCCGATGGATCCCACTGAGACATCTAGAGGATAGCTTCGGCCTCTGTCTGCTTGTGCTTCTCTGGTCTGATGCAGGATGCTGGTCATTTCGGGCTGCGGTCCATGGACCTCCATAGGATTGGGATGCGAATATCTTAGAGCCACTGTTGTCAATCGGTCCAAGCTCCAGTCCGCGGGAGCTCTGCGATGGGTAATCCAATGTCGCAGATTCAGTAGCTCATCAAGAAGCTCCTTTTCATTCAGCAGACGATTCTGGCGCGAGAGGCCAACTTGAGGCGGACCTCTCAAAATGTGATGAGCTAAGCAAACAAGACCCATGCAAATGCCTTGGACCTGCTCTCGCATCTGTTCCTCCATTGGATCTTCTGAATACTCACTCTCATCATCATACAACTCCTCCTCGAAGTCACCAGCAGCCAGGCTTACCCTGGAACCGCCATTGGACTTTGAGAGTTTGCCATTGGACCCTGGACCGCCATCCTCATCGTCGTCATCGTCGACTCCCTCAGTCTCTCCGAAGAAGCTAGGCAGGCTGTCCTGTCCTGGTGCAGTGGATGCTGCCAGACTTGACTTGGAGGCGTCCCTCCTCATAGTTTTCAACTTGGTCATCCTCTTTAAGCTTCGTTTACTGCCACTGGGACTCAAGCTTGTGTTCCTGGTGAGCATGCCGACCTGGAGGTCGATGGAGCCAATTCTCTCACTTTGCTGAGCAACAATCGCTTTCAGGTCAGACATCTGACCACTGAAGGACTCCTTTCCCACACATTGTTGAATGGCGTCCGTAAGCCTTGCAGCGTCTTCATTGGTGGCGCATTCCAGAATGCCCTTGGTATGCCCATCAATCTGCTTAGTATGCCCATCAATCAACATCTGTAAGGTACGAATACGGTCTGTGGCATATTGCATGTCATCTGTAAACTTTTCATTGGACTCTAGAATAACCTTGTAAACCTTCTGAAACTGAATGGAGTTCTCCACCGCCTCTTGCTTGCGAGTATCACATTCTTCTCTCAATTGTTGCGCCGTCTTCTGTCCCTTGGCATTTGCCTCTGCAATATCCTTTTCCCTTGCACGATTCTTCTTTTCAATCAGATCTCGTTGACGGAGCAAATCTTGCTGAATTGATTGCACCTGCTCTCTGACTGGCTGAAGAAGCCCCAAATCCACCAAGGCAAGCATCGCTGATCGCCAGTCCTCCGGGCCAGAATAGGCACCAGTCGCACCCTGACAGGCCGTCTGGAAAGCCTTCTTACGCCGATCCAACAGGAGGTCCATGGCTACCATGGCTTCCTCCTCAACATCACCCGACGTCGCGGTCATTGATGTTGTGATGGCCGGCCCAACGGTGGGAGAGCTACTCGGCCTGCTCTGGACTCCAACCTGAAGAGGCCCGACTGGTTGCTGCAGCTGCACCCCATTAGACTTGCCATTAAAAATCAGGGCTCCGATCATCTTCTGAGCCTCTTCCATTGCGAAGACCTGCATCCGAAGCTCCAAATCCTTTAAGGATTTCTGGACCTCCAGCACAGCATCTTCAGCACGTGCTTCCGCGCTTTGTCGCTTTTGCGTCTCGATGCCCAATTCCAATCGGACTCCTTGAATCATCTCCTCCGGGCTTCAGATGTTTTGGTTTTCTTTGATCGACATAAAACTAAAAAAAAAATAAATGCTTTCACAACAAAAACTAAACAGTTTGTACTTTTGCAGTTGGGGCGCCGGGTTAAGATAGTTAAGCCGTGGTGGAGAAACGAGGGAAGAGAAGAACACCTATATAAAGAATCTGCAGAAAAAGCGCAAAGAGACTCCAAAGAACAAGTCAAGGCAAGAAACACCTGAAATTAATGGATATGTATATATATATATACATATTATATATATATATATATATTGATAAAGAAAGAATGGCTCAAGCCAGGCTCAAGGCCATTTTCAGCATCAAGCGCTGTGGCTGACGGCCACAGGGCTGAGCAGACATTCAAGAACACCACAAGTCTGCGGAGAAGGAAGGCCAGAACGTGCCAGAGCATGAGAAGACACTATAAAGTGTGCACGCATTGCAGGAGCAGCTGGATCTGGGAAGATCGGTTGGTCACGCGACCCAACCTGGCTTGCAATCACTGCGGAGTGGCATGGCAGACCACGCAGGTTCCGGACCTGAGGAAGAACAGAAGGGTGACTTGGGCATCCTGGAACTTCCAGGGTGAAGGGAACCGCTGGCCAAAGAAATCTTTCAAAGATGCATTGCTGGAACCACCTCCGGGACTCCAAGGGGGGCAACGGACACGCAAGGCCAAGAAGGCCAAAGATCCAGCACTACAGAAAGCACTCAAAGACCATTGGGAACAACTGCCGGATGCCTTCAAAGAGAAATGCACGTCACTGGGTGTTCAGGTGACTGCTCCACCCAGTACACCTGATTTGCCCACTCTGATAAAGGAGCACCTTCAGAGTTTGCCGACTGAGTTGAAGGAGGCGGTCGAGAAACTGGTGGACCCCGATCCACCAGAACCGCCTTTGGCATCCAAAGTCAAACAAGCGGTGGGGACCCTAAAGCAGCTGACAGAAAAGAAGGCAAGTTTGCAGGCAAAGGCAGACACTGTCAAAGCTCAATACACCCAGCTCTTGCAAGACCTCAAAGAATTGCAAGGCAAGATTGAGACGGCACAGAAAGAGTTGCAAAGCACAACAACACAATACAACCAGCAACTCGAGAAGCAGAAGCAAGAAGATGCTGAAGAAATGGCAGATGAACTTTCCCCTGAAGCATTAGTCACTGCAATGGCCAGTGTTGGGTTTCAGGCAACATCAGCCCAGGTGAAAGACCTGGCCGTGAAGCTTGTTGAGAGCGCGGCAAAAAGAAGGAAGTGTGGGTAACAGGATGTTACCTAGCAGGGCTGATGAAAGGGGTGCCACAACCTTGTTACAAGCATCCAGGGGCAGCAGCGATGTGAGCATGCAAGGTTGTGCAGGTTTTGGCTCAGGAGATGAGGGTTTTTCCTTTGACGGGCCTGAGATGGGGAGTTCAGCCGGTCAGCGGCTGACAAGTCAGGAAGGGATTGCACCTTTCCCTGGCTTCACAGGAGGAGCTGGAGACATGGACGAACCCATGCTCTCCTTGAGTGACACAGATGAGCAGTCCGAGATGGCTGCAACCAGGAGTGGTCCGATGTGGCCGCTTGACTATGTGGCACAAAGCTTGCAATGCAGGCTTGGAAATCCAAACAATCGATGTTTTGCCAATGCAGCTTTCCGCTTGTGGTCATGGGCGGGGGCTTTCATGGATGGCCCACAAATGTGGTGCAAGACCACGAATGCAGTCCTGGAGGCGCTCAAGACAGATGAGGTGGTTCATTTGCCAAAGCTGCCAGGGTTGGAAACTTTGTGGGAGACATTTGATGACAACAAACAAGATGATGCATATCACTTTCTGCAAGAGCTGGTGGCAATTGCAGAGACGGAGACTGTGATCCAGAGCTATCACCAGGTCGATTTCAGACAAGAGGTCAAGCAACATAGAGCATTCCCTGTCCATTTGATTTTCCATGCATCTCAGGGACCGGATGATCTAGAACACCTGATAGCTTCATGGGCGAACACTGCTGAGGGTCAAGTGTTTGATGGTCAAGGATTGTGGGTAGCACAAATTGGCCGATATGAACAAGTTCATGGTGAATGGACCAAACATCATCGAGCCTTGCAGGTGCCTTCCATTTTCAATCTGCCGATCACGCTGGATGGAGAAGAAACCAGAACGTTGCAATATTCACTTGTCGGCCTTTTGTGTCACTCAGGCACTGCCCATCAAGAAGGACATTTCTTTGCAGTTTTCATATATCGAGGTCTTTACTGGCTTGTCGATGATGGGGCTTATCCCAGACCAATACAGCACCTGTCTGAGAAAACCAAACAACAGATTGTGCAAGTTTGGGCGATCCCATCTAGAAAACTGCTTCCGGCACACATTGAATGTGATGTGACACCCGGCACCAAGAGAACAGTTGCACAAGAACCAGAACCAAAGCGCCACTGTTCTGAAGGCATTAATTTTGATTTTGCCAACATCACGCAACTGGGCCAGGCAGTGAGACAATGGATTATCACCCGCCCTAGGCGGCCGCTGTTCATGGTGGAAACCCATTTGGGACCAGCAGATCACGAGAAAACACAGCAATGG